TATGACTTTCAGCTACTTTGTCTTTGAACTCGTTGTGCACTGGGCACTGGGCCCACTATTGTTTCAGACAGAGGAGTTTAAATGCAGCACAGAATTTAACTTGAATTTAGCTTACTTCAAAAATCCTTGAGGAGAAAAACATAATGGTATTGCTTCTTTGCCATGGTTTCATCAAATTTTTCTTCCCGGTACACAGAAGACAAATGTGGTCTCAGTCTGGGATCCAGTCTCATTAAAGCATATTGCCTCTTTTATCAAGTGACAACACGCCAGAAAGTGGCCTGAGACCAGAATGTCTTACACAAGGACGGTTAATAGCTCTATTCCAGACGCTGTGACCGGCAGGATGAGTAATGCTGCGAGGGACACTGGTGTGTCGACTTTTCAGGGTGGAGAAACAATGAACTTTGTAGCTGTAGACAAAAAACTTCCCCTATGAAAGTATGTTAGTGCTGCAGCTTGGAGGGTAGAAAATGGAAATACACTTGAAAGCAAATCACCTGCATACATGCATTACGACATAAACTTGCTTTGAGGTCACCATGAGGACTACACCAACCTTCAGCCGGATGATGTTTGATAAAACCCTCATCGTCAGCAGGCATCCACCCTGCTGATGATGAGCATGACAGTGAATCACTGAACCCTTATCAGCTGCAGGGCTCCTATCTGTGGAATGTGACCTCCGCAGAGATGAGAACTGACCTACAGGCACCAAAACAATTCCGTAACTAACACTGTGGTAATATTATCCGTCTTGGTAGTCAAGGTAGAAGCACTGAAAGTGGTTAATGACATAGGAATGGAAAAGTTAAATGAGGCACTTTCTCCCCTTTTTAGCAATTTAGATATCCACATACAATATCTAGAATGTTTATTCTGTACAAAAAGGCCTTGTAAAATGTCCATATCATTAATTGAATCCATGACTGCCTGTCTCTGTCAGACAACTGGAAAACTCCAGGTTATGGCAATGGGTGTGGTGTTGTGGTTTCGAGGCCTGAACCTAACTCTGTGACAGTTTATCTTAACCTAACTATATGCTTTTGATGCCTGGACCTAACGTTTGTTTTACAACATAAAAAGGATTAATTCAGTCCCTTGTACATGACACCAATTGACTATTTCACTGACAAAAAAAAACCTAAGAAATGTCAGTTGGGGTTTTTGTAGCTCTACTTTAAATTGAATATATCCAGCTATAAAACAACTAATGACAAAGAAAACTGATTTATTTTCTAAAGATAAATCAGTTTTCAGCTTGCCACTACTAGTCTGTCTCCATAACATGTGCTTTCTGCGTTTTTTTAGATAATCAATATGCAATTAACCAGCCGGCTGAATGTATTTCTGCTTCTTGCCAATATGCCATTGAGCAAGTTCTTTCATATGACACAAAAATAAAGACTCTTTGATCATTCTAGCATGCATGACGTTAAATTATCCCAGAGTTTCACAGAAGTGTAAGGATTACTACAATGTGTGGCATCACTTTGATCAGATTTGCTCTTTGAAATTTGATAATAAACAAGTCATAGGATCACACATGCCAGGCAGCATACGACCGATCAGAGGCTCTATTTAAAACAGAAGTCATATAATCAGAGAGCCAAAGCGAGCTTCAGGGGGCCTCAGAGACTCAGTCCTCCAAAGGAACTTGGTTTAATGAACCAGAAACAGTTGTTTTTTCATTGGCTACCACATGTTTTAGGTTGTCAATTAGTTAATTTATCATTGCCATGAAACATGAGTAAATGTGTCAATGGTGTTAATTCCAAAGAAAACACAAAAAAAGAATGCAAAATTGGGAATCGCAAGGGTCAAATGTCTGCCTCAGAAATGGCGGCAGAGCGAGGTCCATCCAGGTTTTTTTTAGGCTCATTAGCAAAGCCAACCTGGTGTCGCTCCCAGAGGATAAATACCCCCTGGGCAGTGGCCTTGGACGTGCTGATACCGACACACAAGGCTCCTTCTGGCATCTTTATGCCACTCCACTGGGAATGCTACGCCACTGGGCTTCATGACGTTACGTCCTGTGTGCAAGATGTAGGGGGTCTCTGTCAGATACCTTCAAAGCCTCAGTTGGTCTTAATAATTATTACAGTTAGTTTTTCCTTCTATGTCAAAAATAAAGACTGGCTCTAAGTGGCCAAATACAAAGTCAGGATGACACTACGTTGGTTAATCACTTTGAATGCCCTCACCATTTGAAAAAGGGGCCCGTTAGGAATAATAATGATTCAGCTTCTTTAGCATATAGAAACTAACCAACTGACATGACAATGTGGATTGTCAACTTTCAGCCATAAAGAGATTTGAATGTACGCAATTCCCCAGGACAGAATCAACCAGCTAATGGATGTTGTGTGATATGAGCTAAAGCTCCAGAAGAGCCACCAAAGGTCAAGTCCCTCAGGCTTTAAAACAAAAGAAACAGTCATCAACCCTTTGCGTAGAAGTTAGTGCGCCCTGCCCATGTTGAGAAAACGGTTTGCATTTGGTTCTGAAGTTTTCATTGGGAGGTTTCTTACAGATTCCCAGTAAGAGCCCATAAACCAGACCACAGCAAGAATAATTGGTGCAAACGGGCTGAATCTACAATATCTCAAATCTACAGTCATGCAGGCTTACAGCTCTTCAATGGCACCTTCCCTCTGTCTCTCTCTCCCTTTTTCTCCCTCGCTCCCCCCGTCGGGCTCTCAACCACACTTCGCCCTCTCGTATATTTCCACCGCCTCTCCGCTCCCTGTCATCCCTTCGACAATTTATGGGTCGCTTTCTCTCCTCTCCTGCCCTCATGTCTTTAAATCTACACTCCCTTCTTTATTCATTTGACCTGCTCTCCTCCCTCCTTTTCCTTCCTCCTTCTCCTCCCCCGCTTACTGCAACATCCCTCCCCTTCATCCTAATCGGTTCACCTCTGCGCAATCAAAGATCGGTGATGTTTCTGAAAAATGATTAAATTCAGCTTCACAACAGTTGCACTGCGAAGAGTTGTACATGGAGTGTTACTACAGATGTGGAGAAAATCCTTTTAAGTGCTTGTGTAGTGTAATATATTCACTTAATTTCACTGGCTTAACAGGGATTCAGTATATCCAAAGATCACCAAGTGACTAAATGAATTAGATGTACCATGGAGAAATTACAATAGAGAAAGATAAAGTGGCTCCCTCTGCACGAGGCTCCTCCTCTGATTTGGATATATTTTCAGTGCAGTATTTTCAATACATGGTGTAATAAAAAAAAAAAGAACATACTGTCTGAGTAGACCTATATCCTCCCTCTGCTGCTTTTTTACAGCTGTGTCTTTTGTCCTCCATACCCCATAAAGAACATGCTTGCACCTGTGCAAAGTTATAAGGCTAGTGTGTCACAGTTTTTCATGATATGTCCGCTTTAATGTATCGGTGCTTCACCATCTACAAAGGATTTGAATAGTTCTTCCTCCCTCAGCCTCCTCTCTTTCTCTTTTTTTCAACTCATCTGTTCCTGCATGCCTGCTGTAACCCCCCACCACCAGCACCACTTCTCCCCCTTTCAGGTAATAGATGGTCGAAGTTGGACAGTGTGACGGAGTCGTTCTGCTGCCACTCTGTCTGCCTACTGGTCTGATCTATAGGACAAGCAGCTCCACACTATAAATCAACACACATGCGCACCTCCAGCCTCTGACGGTTGCTCTGACGATTGATGCTCACCTTGTTGCTAAACGGCCAAGTTAATTAAAGAACATGAATCCCTGCACTGTGTGTGTGTGTGTGTGTGTGTGTGTGTGTGTGTGTGTGTGTGTGTGTGTGTGTGTGTGTGTGTGTGTGCGTGCGTGTGTGTGAGAAAGAGACTCCTGCTGTGGCATTGTTGCATACACATACACAATTAGGCAACATACATCCGATCGGTCTTTGTCTCTCGCACAACCGCACACATATTATTACACTACAAACACACTTTCTGTCTTTGGCCTTGCATCCCTGCACACAATCTCTCTTTCTTTACACACACCCAGAGAGAAAGGAGAGGGAGGGGAGGAGGAAGAGAAAGCACCTGCTGGGCTGTGAAGCACTCAGACAAACAGCGTCTGTGTTTGGGAAGACTTGAACAAATGGGAAAATTATACAGTGGAACTAAAACGACACCCATTCAACAAAGGTGCTTCACCCCCAACTGGCTAAAGGGGTTCCTTGGGGTTATTTCCAGTGCAATGTATTATATACGTGTGTGTATGTGTGTGTGCATCAATGTTTTTACATGTCCACAAACATTTAACTTGCATGTTTTCAATTACAGGGTAATGGTAGCATATGGAGCATTGCTGAGCAAATCAGTCAATGTAAAAGGTGGCTTACTGTACAGGCACCCGGGGCCCTATAGAGTCTTTTTTTAACTGAACGCTGCACAGTTCTGGTGGAAAAGTCACTAAAACAAATACAACCAGATGTAGAGGTAAAAAAAGTACAGGAAGGATTGTCACAAGGCAGATAAGAACATATATAAACCACAAATATACATATGCTTTTGTGTGGTGCTTTTCAACTAAGAGAATAGCGGTGCCCGCGATGGCCAGCTTATAGCGCACTCGTGTTACTTCGTGCACACGCAATGCACTTTGCTGAATGAATAATGAGCAGCATATTGGCCTTACGGGAGAGGGGGGGGGGGGTATGTAGTGCTGTGAATCCAATGTATTCTCGCTCATTCCTGGACGCACATACACGCACACTCATTCACTCGTGCGTAAAAACGCTCCCTCCGCTACTCGGTCTCACCTCTCGCAGAACGGACGAGGCGCGCACACACAGTCGAGCCTCTCTCTCTCTCTCTCTCTCTCTCTCTCTCCCCCTCTCTCCTCTTCCTTCTGTCTTTCCTTCTCTTCTGCCTGGTCTCACGTGCTAGTACGTATCCACTAAACAGTCCGTGAAGTAAACTCACCTCCTACATCCGTGCACACGCGTAAAACGGAGAGTGATTTTTATTTAAATGTTTAAATTTGTTTCGCTTACCCGGTGCTTTGCAGTGACCGATTCTTGACCGGACGAAATCTGTAACATCTGCTGAAATAAATCCCACTTCTGGATCTCTCCTCGTGGGTCTCCTTCAGCCAGTTTAACCGTCTCCGAACGGACGGGCCGGATGAGTGGAGGTAAAGGAACGAGGTATACAAGACTGGAACAGGATACGTTTAACTGGCAGAAAAACAAAAATAATATAGAATCCCCCTTCCGCTCATATTAACCACAGTTACGCATCCTCTCCCATTCTTCCGCGGCTGGGGATGTTAGAAGAAGACGTAGGTGGACCTCTGCGTTCAGTCTGTCTCGGCCTCTGTCCGGCCACTGGTGTGGAAGAGTCGCTCCACTTTGCGTCGCCAAAAATAACTTACACCAATCTGTGAACCGCAGTCCCGCAAAGAGCTTGCACTATAATAGTATTTATTTAATTCTTAAAACGATTTCAAAATGAAGCCGTTGTGGCAATCATATTACTTTAAGATCCTACTTTTAGTTCGTTGTTGCAATGGCTGCTCGTTTAGTACCATGTGGTATTTCTTCAGCAGGCAAGTATACGTTCAAATCGGCTGAAGGGTCGACGCTAATTATCAGATAGTCATTCGAGCTGCAGTGCGGGGTTCCCCTTTTCAGGGTCTTAAAATCTCCCGCAAGTCCAAGTTTGCCGGGTGACACCGTCCGACAGTTAATCAGCCAATCAATCAGCTGATCGATTACAGCGACCACTCCATAACCAGGCGGAGGTCGGTGGCATAAAACGTTCCAAGTCAAAGTCTCTCTTAATTTTTGCAACGTGTCCTAATCCATTCAAAAAGACATTTCAGGAAATACGAGACCATGCGTGTTCTTTATTTGTCTTCCCCCGTCTCCTTCCTCTGTTGTCTATGGTAATTCTTTACTTTTCTCTTTCCCCAGTGAGGCGTCCCCCGGTTCAGGGGGCTTTAGCCGTTCTGATCTTCCCCTCGATGCGGGTCCAGAGCTGCACTCACCGCTTTGCCAAGATAACGCAAAAAATCCGCCTGAGACGACTTTTGGAAAACACTCTCGCAGCTCTGAACGCAGAAGGAAAAGGCGCGGAGCCTTGTGCTGCTTCTTTAGGTCCTCCACCAAAAAAGAGCGGTGGGAGAGAGAGGGGGTGAGAGAGAGAGAGGGTGAGAGGGTGAAAGAGAGAGAGGGTGAGATAGCAAGAGGAGGAGGGAAGCTAGATGAGTGGGATCTTCGTGCTTTCAGCTGCTGAGTAGACAGAGCGCTTGGGGAGAGAAGAATATAGGTATGCATGTGAACAGGAGAAGAGATGTAGAAGAGACTATGTAAAGGAGAGAGAGTCCGCTGCAGTAATTACACCTTAAAAGAGAAGCCACACTTTTGGCTCTATGGTCGATATAACTGTAAGGGAAAGATGGTATGTGCCCTTTTGTATCCCCCTTCTAGAAATAAAACCTTTCCTCTTTTTATTTGTTTCCCTCAGATACTCCACCACCTGCCCGGGGAAAGACAGATAGGAGACATGCAATCTGCCACATCTTGCAGAGGCTTTCATTCAAAGTGTCTTGAGAGAGTCCATGAGAGAACACAGAGCAGTGAGAGAGAGAGCCTGCTGTGCAAAAAAAATATTGTTCCTTTGTAGTGTTGATATTCAAACCTGCATTAATTGTCCACATGTCTGGATATCAATAAAAAGGATTTTTTGTTATGGGATATGAAAATAGATGGGACTGAGCAGGTTACTGCTTCATTCAGCGGCAAGTGAGGGGCGCTGTTCCTTCAGCACCATGAGGAGGCGCGCGCGCACACACATACACACACACACACACGCGCACATGTTATGAGTTTGAGAGGCGGCTCCTCTCATTTTTTTTTACATTTGTGAGTGCACGCTGTCTCAGTGTGTATGTGTGTGTGCGGGTCTGTGTGTGTGTGTGTGTGTGTGTGTGTGTTAGAGAAAAAGAGAGAGAAAGTTCTGCAATTTTTTTTCCCTATTCTGGATCCGCCACAAGTCTTCTTTTAATTTTCATCCATAGCAATCAATGGAAATTTAAAGTGGGCTAAGCAAGAAAAGAAAGAGTTAAAGATACAAAAGAAGACATGGTTACAAAATGTGTGCGTGGGAAGGGGTGGGGGGGCACCATGTATAAGTGTTTCTGGTGTCTCAGCATGTTGAAAAGTGCTGCTCTGTTGCCCCCTCTTGGTAGTGGAGAGACATGCTTGGGGGGTGGAGGGATGGAGACTGTCTAAGGGCATGAGGATATCACTAAAAGATCTTCACATCTTGAATGTGTTCATAGAATCAATGACTTAAGCGACACCAGTTTGACTAAAACATTTTTGTTGTAATATATAAATGGTTTCAGTGACAAAGTGAAGGCACATCAATATTCCAGCGGTATTCAGTCACATGAAGCCATTGATACTGTCTGGATGAAGGTAATGCGGCCAAGGAAATTATAATTAAAGCTGCAATCAGCTGTGTAAGGCCCTTCGCACCTTTGTGCATGTGGCGAAAATGTCTGAGACCTTTGGAGCGTCCATGAGTTCATCGTTGTTAACTGCATGGAGTGACGCTGGAAATGCTTTTCAAACAGCCCACCACTTTGTCTATCCACTGTGTGGCACTAAACAACATGTATCAACATCCTTTATACTGCTCTATAAGTGTAGAGAACAGCACGTAAATGTCCTGTTAATCATTATATGTGTCGTTTAGGAGACAAAAGGTAAATTGGCCTCAGCAGAAACTCCTCAAAATGCAAAACAACAATCGCTTGACACCCTAATCAGTGAAAAATCACCATGTGCTGTTTTGACTGCTTCAGAAGAGAAGGCAAAACAGACTTAGATAAGGTTAAACCTAGCAAAGTTAGGAGGGCACACTAGCAGTTAACTTAATAGCAGAGTCTATAGCAAGAACTGGCACTAAAAAATAGCAAGAGCTTAAGCAAACCAGAAATCAAGTTAACTTAAAACAGTAGAATCAACAACAAATTTAGCAGACTAGCTTGGTTTAAAGAAAAGATACATATAGATACCGATTTCAGGTCGCCTGGATGTCTGATGGCCTTGTAGTCGAGATACACTTCCATTCATTGTAAACGACTTTCAACCTCATTCTCATTTCATAATTTTAAAGAACTTCACTGATCTGGTTATACTCTGTGCTTAAATACAGCTGCAGGTGAAGGGACATCTAGAATCACACCTAGCACATCAGCCAGTGAAACACAGACCCAGAGACACAGAGGATGCAGCAGGTAAGTCCATTTTATAGTCTTTATTTTACACTTAAAAGCTTATACAACAATGATTTATATGCACCTAATGCCAATTTCATGTTGTTTGAATAATTGTTCACTCCATTAAACACCACTGATCTTGTTAAAAGAAAAAAATGATTTAGATGTATATACTGCCTGTAGTATTATGACTAATCTGAATAAATCTGAAAAACATCAAATGTATGTATTTGTCTTCAGGTGAAGGAGCAACAGACACAATCCGCCCGGATTCTACACTACAGCCTAATTTATCTTTTAAATCGTGTTTGTATTTATTTGGCAGGGACAGCGCAGAATATATGAACGAGGGTAACATAAAGCCTGACTCCGGCAATATTCAGCCGTTCATGAATCAGGCGATCTTTTCTGACGTTCGAGAATGATGTGTTTAGGAATTTATTATTTATTTATAGTTTTATTTTGGAGATCGACCAGGTAAAGTCTCTGAGATCGACCCGTCGATTGCTATAAAATATACACCAGAGTTGCAGTTATACTAATTGATTTTAACAAACTTATGACAGATTTTATGACTTTTATTTGTGACTTTTAATCAGGTAACTACGTCTTTGATTTTAAATATGTGTACCAGGTGTACAATTACAGCATTTTTAGTCCTTCAAAAGCACCTTTGTTGTTTAAGTGAAGAATGGGTTAACAGCTTCATGGACTGGCATTATGAATTTTATTTGTTTGGAATGAATTTGATGTTGATCTGATTTACCTACAGAGAAAACCAAGTCAAAGTATAGAAAATTTTACTTCATGTTAGGGTGGCACTAAGATTATTATTGTTGGAATGCATTAAGCATGTATTGTTCTTCTATTCTTTATTCCGCCTTCTTCTTCTTTTTCTTCTTCTATTTCTTCCGTTGCACCTTTCAACTCCTTCACACTTTCAGCTATTAAAACTGTTCAAATATTAAAATGTTCAGCTCATTCAGGAGAGGGGGCTATGAGTTTTCAGCTTTCTAGCTCTTATGCTTGAATTTATATAAATCAATAATCATTAATATTTTAACATGGTTTTCAAATGGAGTTTTTTTTCTCCAAATCCTCTTAAAATTCTTGCTTCGCCAATCTTTCAGCTACAGACACCATTTAAACTGGTTGCCTCAACTTGAGCGAATGCTCAAGTTGAGGCAAGACTTCCAGTGAGCAGCCATGAGTTCGCCTGTAGTGCGGCTTGATCCCTCGTCGCATCCTCTGTGTTGTGTCCTCGAAGCCGGGGAAGATGTGTTTCTTGCACCGATTTACCCTTCTTAAATACTGAATCCAGCCAAGTCACATGCACTCCACCTACTTTTTGATGGAGTTTCAATGGTCTAGACCGTGTAAGTAAACAATGGAGTAATGAAGAGACAACCATCATCTTAGATGAATAGTACTATTAGCATTCGATAAGTGGTCAATAACAGAGCAAACGTTCTTCTTTGTGCAACTCGTTGCTACTTGGTGGCCATCAGTTGCAGCTCGATCAGCAGTACTTGTTCAATACAAACTCTGGAAGGCACATTCTACCATGAGACCCCTAGGTGACTTCTAAAGTAAAAGACAAGGGATCTGAACATGAATCCAATGCAGAATTGGGGCCAAAAACATTAGTGTTAGTGCAACTCACAAGACATTTTAAACGAAGTACACCTCCCAGACACAAGAGTGAGAGATCAGCAAAACTACCAACAAAAAGCACTTACTGTATTGAGAACCAAAGTCAGTGTTTTTGTAAGGGTAACCATGAAGACCAAATCAGGACATGATGGAGAACAGACTAAAATGGTTGTGCCTACCCCACACAAGTTTTCAAATGGCATACACCTTACACAGTGGATGTTGCAGAGATCAGCAAAACTACCCCAACAAAAAGCACTTACTGTATTGAGAACCAAAGTCAGTGTTTTTGTAAGGGTAATCCTAATGGCCAAATCTGGAGGAGAAATGCACTCAATCCCATTTGATTGTAACCGCTAAGACAACCCCAAAGAGAAGCACTTATGAACCAAATCATCACCAGTGGCTCTATTTGAAGTTATCTGAGAGTGTTGCTCAAAAAGCATGTCTTCTTCTTCCATGCTGTAATTGTTGTCACTTGAAACTGCTGCCTGTTGAAGAACGCACAACCAAGACAACCCCAAAGAGAAGCACTTATGAACTGAAGAATCATCAGTGTCTCATTTTGAGGTTATCTGAATTGGATTCCATTGATATCTACCTTTAGTTTTGGTGCGTAGTATTTGTCAGGATCAACCGCCCCAACAAGTAGCACTTTACTGAATTCAAACACAAGCAAATGCTCAAGTTGAGGCAACATTAAAGACTTCCAGTGAGCAGCCATGAGTTCGCCTGTAGTGCGGCTTGATCCCTCGTCGCATCCTCTGTGTTGTGTCCTCGAAGCCGGGGAAGATGTGTTTCTTGCACCGATTGACCCTTCTTAAATACTGAATCCAGCCAAGTCACATGCACTCCACCTACTTTTTGATGGAGTTTCAATGGTCTAGACCGTGTAAGTAAACAATGGAGTAATGAAGAGACAACCATCATCTTAGATGAATAGTACTATTAGCATTCGATAAGTGGTCAATAACAGAGCAAACGTTCTTCTTTGTGCAACTCGTTGCTACTTGGTGGCCATCAGTTGCAGCTCGATCAGCAGTACTTGTTCAATACAAACTCTGGAAGGCACATTCTACCATGAGACCCCTAGGTGACTTCTAAAGTAAAAGACAAGGGATCTGAACATGAATCCAATGCAGAATTGGGGCCAAAAACATTAGTGTTAGTGCAACTCACAAGACATTTTAAACGAAGTACACCTCCCAGACGCAAGAGTGAGAGATCAGCAAAACTACACCAACAAAAAGCACTTACTGTATTGAGAACCAAAGTCAGTGTTTTTGTAAGGGTAACCATGAAGACCAAATCAGGACATGATGGAGAAC